TTTTTTTTTTCTAGATACACCATCAGTCAAGATTATACCATCCACTCCTTTTCCACAAGAAGGACAGCCTTTAATTTTGACTTGTGAATCCAAAGGAAAACCACTGTAAGTGATTTAATGAGCAATAAAGATTTTTACTGTTTTCTTTATCCTGTTTTGATTGGAAATTTTAACTGTAGAAATCTACTATTTTTGTCATTTCTTGGTGGCAAAGTGATCTCCAGAACGGAAAAACCCCTGAACCGTGTCTTCATTAAGTGTCTGTGGAAGATTGGTCTTTTACTTTGTCATCTAGTGAAGTTTCTGGGAAGGTTTCCAGCTGTAATTTTCTCCTCCCCTCCCCCCCTCCCCCAGCAAGATATTTCAACCTGAAAGGCAATGAGCTTAATCAGTCATAGTTTACATCATCAGACTAATACAAGTTATACATTGCTGAGTTTAGTTCTCTTATGAAAAAGTTTGGCTATATTGAATGATCCCCAAAATATGTCCCATTCTTAATATTACACAGGGAATCATTTTTATAATCAGGAAAATCAAAGTTATATTTCTGATGCAGCATTCATGTGAAGGTGATACACTTTGAAGCAATTTAAGTGGAAAAAGTCACAAGCTTAATGTTTGCAGTTGTAAAATAATTTTACTATTATACTTCAACTCTTTGTAACATTATTTATTTAAAGCTACCTCACAGAATACCTATTTTTTAATATACAAAATATAAATCCCCAAATATAGAGTATTGAAAAACAGTAATATTTGAAAGGAATATGTTCATTTTAGTATGGTAAGATTTGAGTCTTAGTTTTAACTAAGTTTCTTGATTTAAAATAAAAGCCTCCAATCTATTTCAATTCTTGCTTAAATTTTTAATAAGTAGAATTTAATTGTCCTCTGTATATAATTATATTGGATGGTTTCTGTGTAAATCTGGTTAATTTACTAAAAATTTGCTCCCAATAAGATTTAAAATATTTAGATGTAGGCTCAATATTATCCCATGAGGAATTTTTCTTTCAGAATTTCTAACATAAGTGGCTTGAAATTTTAACTTTTTAAATTATATAGCAATTGACTATACTATACTGAATGAATCCAGGATTGTGCCTGCAAGTAAAGAAAACAAGAAATATGATATCTCCTTGAGGACTAAGGTGCACCTGACACAAGCCATGATATTTCCAATTGCCTCGTATGCATGTGAGAGCTGGACAATGAATAAGGAAGACCGAAGAAGAGTTGATGCTTTTGAGTTGTGGTGCTGGCGAAGAATGCTGAAAGTACCATGGACTGCTAAAAGAACTAACAGATCTGTCCTGGAGAAAGTGCAGCCAGAATGCTCCTTGGAAGCAAGAATGGCCAGACTTCGTCTCACCTATTTTGGTCATGTTGTAAGAAGGGACCATTCCCTGGAGAAGGCTGTCATGCTTGGTAGGGTGGAGGACCGACGAAAGAGGGGGAGGCCTTCAACAAGATGGATTGACACGGTGGCTGCGATGATGGGCTCAAGTATAGCAGGGATTGCGGGGCTGGTGCAGGATCGGGCAGTGTTTCATTCTGCTGTGCATGGGGTCGCTATGAGTCGGAAACGACTTGATGGCACTTAACAACAACAACAACTGACTACATAAAAGAATTCCATTGTGTGGATCATAACAAATTATGGATGACATTGCCAAGAATGGGAATTGCAGAACCTTTAATTGTGCTAATGAGGAACCTGTACATAGACCAAGAGGCTGTCATTCGAACAGAACAAGGGAATACTGCATGATTTAAAACCAGGAATGGTGTGCATCAGGGTTGTATCTTTTAACCACACTTATTGAATCAGTTTGTTGTGCAAATAATCCAGGAAGTTGCACTATAGGAAGAAGAATGCAGCATCTGGATTGGAAGAAGACTCATTAACAATCTGTAATATGCAGATGACACAACCTGGCTTGCTGAAAGTGAAGATAACTTAAGCACTTACTGATGAAATCAAAGACCACTACAATGGATTACACCTCAACATGTTGTTGTTGTTGTTGTTATGTGCCGTCGAGTCGGCCCTGACTCATAGCGACCCCTCCTTGGGTTTCCGAGGCAGTATCAATACGGAAGTAGGATTGCCCAACCTTCCTTCCGAGGAGTGGCTGGTGGGTTTGAACCGCCAGCCTTCTGGTTAGCAGTCAAGTGCTTTAGCCACTATGCTACCAGAGCTAAGCAACATCACAATAAATTGAGATAAGATTGAGGTTTTCAAATATTTCATTTTATTTGCATCCACAATCAACAGCAATGGAAGCAGCAGTCAAGAAATCAGACATTGTATTGCTCTAGGCAAATCTGCTGCAAAAGACCTCTATAATGCATTAAAGAGCAAACATCTCACTTTGAAGACCAAGATGCGCCTACACCAACCCATGTTAATTTCAATTGCCACACATGTATGCTAGAGCTGGACAGTGAATAAAGAAGACCTAAGAAGAGGTGTTGCCGTTAAATTGTGGTGTTGGGGAAGAATACTGAAAATACCATGGACTGCTGGAAGAAGGAATAAATTTGTCTTGGAAGAAGTGCAATTAGAATTCTACTTAGAAATGAGAGTGACCAGATGTCATCTCACACACTTTGGCCATGTTGTCAAAAGCGACCAGTCTCTGGAGAAGATAACATGCTCAGCAAAGTAGAGGGTCAGAAAAAAAGGAAAAGACCCTCAACAAGATGGATTGACTCAGTGGCTGCAACAATGGGCTTAAATAGAGGAAGGATATGGTCAGGACTACCCAATACTTCATTCTGATGTAAAAGGGTTGTGATGAGTCAGAGTTGACTCATCAACACATAAAAATTGATTGAATGCACACATTCTTTACCACAGTTTTGATAAAGACTCCAAAACTCTTCTCTCTCATGTTACTTATCTTCTAGACATAAACAAACACACAGCATACATACTGATTTAAAGAGTGTTTTATAAATTAATTCCTTATTTTTCTATTGCTTAAAAAAACTTTTCTAAGACATTTTTTTTAAATCACAAAAGGCATTTTTTTTTTTTTTTTAGTGATTTTGCTACATATAGCCTGTTCCGGTCACTTTCATAGTGCTTACCTTTTACTTCTAGAAAACATAGTTCCACACCAGTATGCATTCTACATGTGACAAGTACATAGCAGCAGTATAGCTTATACAAAGAATTTTGACTGCAAGCAGTATGTTAATTAGGGAAAGAAATGTGATGGACTCTGGTCAGCTTCCTCCATAACTACTTCCTAATTTTTACTCCTGATTTTTTTTTTTCTTTTGTCATTACATGCATGTGAATAAGACATGAGGTCATATAGGAGTAGGATGGGTTCCTATATGACTAATATCCTTATAAAAGAGGAGAAAATATACTGAGAAAGAGAAAAAATGTCATGTGGTGCTGCAGTTGCAAATGAAGGAATTCTTAGAACAACCAGAAGCAAAGAGATGGACATGGAACACTCTCCCTTAAAGCCTTGGAAGTAGTCAACATGGTTGACACCCCGAGCTTTGACTCCAAGGCTCCAGAACAGTACAAAAACAAATTTCTGTTTTTATAAGCATGCATTTTGTTACTATAGCCATAAAAAAAAAAAAAAAAAACTTTACTACTGTCAAGTCGGATCCGACTCATAGTGATCCCCCCTTGAGTTTTCGAGGCAGTATCACTACGAAGTAGATTGCCCAACCTTCCTTCTGAGGAGTGGCTGGTGGCTTTGAACCTCCAGTGTTCTGGTTAGCAGTCAAGTGCCTTAGCCGCTATACCACCAGAGCTCCTAAAGGGATCAAATACAGTATTGAACACCAGACATCCTTCCCATGTCTATCTTTATTATTGCTTTTATTTATACTTTTCCATCTAGTTCTTTTTTCCTTCTCTCTATTTTGCTCTTATCTCACTGTTAACAACCTCAAGGTTCTTATAAGAATAATTATAATTTAATTATAAGAATTATTAAAGGAACATGAGCAAGATCAGGACATAGCAAACAAGTGTTAATTATTCTCCTCTCCTTCAGATCTGTCCCAATGTAAGTTTCTTTCTTTCTTTCTTTTTTTTTTTTTTTGCTTTATTTTTGCTTGTTTGTTTGCTTATTGTTTTACTATTTGGAATATGTGTATAATGTAAGCAATTAAATGAAGTGAAGATGGGAATTATATACAATGTTGGAAAATAATTATATCCTTGCTTAAACAGCATCTAATTGCCTATCAGTGCTCTGTGAGAGTCCATGACCACTCCCAACCAACACCATTTGAGACTTTATTTTATTTATGTGAATAATTAAATTGTGGGTACTTATATAATTAGATATTTAAGTGGTCCATATCACTCAGCTCAGGTAAGATTGAATAAATGTGTGTTATTGTAAGGTTTCTGTACTTCAGTTACCTAGAAATAAGCTTGATGTGGTTAATAATTTTCTCCACTAAAGAGGGTAGAAAAGTATTTCATTTAAGTGTGTGAAGGTAAGGAAGTTTAGGAAATAGACAATGTCTCCCTTTTCAGAAGAATCCTGATTAATATCACTTTGCAGCTAAAGCCCCAAACCAAGCTCACTGCTGTGTAGTGTAGTGGGTTCTGACTCATAGCAATCCCTCCTTGGGTTTCTGAGGTGGTATCTCTATGGAAGTAGATTGTCTCATCTTCCTTCCAAGGAGTGGTGGGTGGGTTTGATCCGCCAGGCTTCTGATTAGCAGTCAAATGCCCTAGACACTTCACCACCAAGAAAGAGTCCATACTGTATAGAGAGGAAACTAAAGCCCAATGATGTTGACCATGTTTTCCTCATTTATGCAGTTTTTAAAGGGGTGAGTCAAACTTGAACCTAGTTCATTCATTGCCCAAAACTTATACACTTTGAACTGTTGTCTGCTATTTCAATTGCTGAGTCTAAATTGCCTGAAACTTATACACTTTGAACTGTTGTCTGCTATTTCAATTGCAGAGTCTAAATTGCCTCTTATTATTAGCCAAAAGTACTTTTGAAAACCAGAAACCTAGAATGGACCTGACATCCTCCACAAGAAGAAACAATAATTTTCAGCACTGAAGTTGAACTCTTGGATGCTTTCAGGGAAAAAAAAAA